GGAAAGAAAGTGCTTCCTCACTTTTGGAGAATGTTAAAGGTTCATGTAATCAAACAGAGGCCTAGAACCCCTGTTCTAAGCCAGGGTGTTAGGCTATGGGACCATTTCTTTCTCCCCTACTATAGGACTGCATTCAAACCTCAACATGACCTTCTTCCTAGGTTGTCTGAGTAAAAGGTTGCTCTCCTCTGAGTCCAAAAGAACAGCGTGAACTGTTTGGGAAAAGGACGTGGACCCTCTCAAAAGCCCTCAACCTTAACCTCTCCCACTTAGGAGATGAAATCCTGATCTTATCATGTCCAATTCTGAATATTTAAAAAGAGAGTTAAAAAGGAGGAATGGCTGGGCCCAGTGGCTCATGCCTGTAATCCCAGCACTTTGGGAGGCTGAGGAGGAAGGATCACTTGAACCCAGGAGTTCGAGACCAGCGTGGCCAACATAGTGAAACCCTCTCTCTATTTTGTATAACAATATAAAAAGTGATTAAAACTTAAAAAAGGAGGAATAAAAATTATGTTTACTCAACTATGAAAAAATGCTCAGGAGGAAGGACCTAGATCACAATACTAACATGTTGACTTGGTTAGGAAGATGGGGATATTGTGGCTGGACCGTATTTGTTTCCCCTTTTCTACGAATGAGCATGTAAAATGAATTTCTGGGCTGGGTGCAGTGACTCACACCTGTAATCCCAGCACTTTGGGAGGCCAAAGCAGATGGATCACCTGAGGTCAGGAGTTTGAGACCAGCCTGGCCAACATGGTGAAACTTTGTCTCTACTAAAAATAAAAAAAAATGAGGCGGGCAGGGTGGCACACATCTGTAGTCCCAAAAAAAATAATAATAATAATTAGCTGGGTACGGTGGTGAGTGCCTCTAAGTTCCAGTTACTCAGGAGGCTGAGGTAAGAGGATCACAGGAGGCTGGGAGGCTGAGGCAGGTGGGTTGCCTGAGACCAGGAGTTAGAGACCAGCCTGGGCAACACAGTGAGACTCTGTCTCCAGAAAAATTTTTTTTTTTTGGTAGCAGCAGTAGCAGTGGCGGCCAGAAAAGCACCTAAAACTCTGACAGAGTGGAATCCTTTCATCTATCCAAAGCATCTGCGATCTGAAAAGTAGAAGAGGGGAATCTCTGTTGCCTTTCACTTTGGGAGGCCGAGGCAGGCAGGTCACGAGGTCAGGATATTGAGACCATCCTGGCTAACACGGTGAAACCCCGTTTCTACTAAAAGTACAGAAAATTAGCCGGGCGTGGTGGCGGGCGCCTGTAGTCCTAGCTACTCGGGAGGCTGAGGCAGGAGAACGGCGTAAACCCAGGAGGCGGAGCTTGCAATGAGCTGAGATTGTGCCACTGCACTGCAGCCTGGGCAACAGTGCAAGACTCTATCTCAAAAAAAAAAAAAATAGTAATAATAATTAGCTGGGTACGGTGGTGAGTGCCTCTAAGTTCCAGTTACTCAGGAGGCTGAGGTAAGAGGATCACAGGAGGCTGGGAGGCTGAGGCTGCAGTGGGTCGTGATCACACCACAGTATCTAGCCTGGGCAACAGAATAAGACCATCTCAAAAAAAAAATTTTTTTTTTTCAGTTAAAAAAAAAGTAAGTCCTCAGGGTTCCAGTTCTAAGTAAGATAGATAAAGCACAGTCTGTGTCTCCCACTGGCTGCAACTAAAAGCCCTGGAAAGAATGCATCTGAGGACTCTGAAAAAGAAATATTAACAAGGCTGGGTGCAGTTGTTCATGCCTGTAATCCCAGAACTTTGGGATGCTGAGGCAGGAGGATCACTTGAGGCCAGGAGTTAGAGACCAGCCTGGGCAACACAGTGAGACTCTGTCTCCAGAAAAATTTTTTTTTTTTGGTAGCAGCAGTAGCAGTGGCGGCCAGAAAAGCACCTAAAACTCTGACAGAGTGGAATCCTTTCATCTATCCAAAGCATCTGCGATCTGAAAAGTAGAAGAGGGGAATCTCTGTTGCCTTTTTTCTCTCTTCATCCTGTCACCTGGCCCAAGAGCACACCCCGCCATGGAAGGTACGTAACAGAGCAGGGAGACTAAAAGTCCCAATTTCTAGCTAAAGGGCCAGGAAAATGAGGGGTCTTGAAAGCTGGAGAGTGTGGGCAAGAATGTGGACAGGAGAGAGCTTGTGAAATAGATCCCATTAAGTTGCACATGAATGTGTAAGCTCACATGCATACATCTGACTCTGAACAGTATTCCAGTGAATGAGAACTGAACTATTAGGCAGAACACCCAGGTTTCAGACTGGTCACTGGGTGGCATAAGCTTAGGACTGTTCTGATTTACATGGCAAAGGCTTTGAAACTGAACTGATATTGGAACTACAACAGCCCACAGGAGACAGATCAGAACTGAACCTAAGAGGGTCAACTGCCTCCTAAAACAAAAACCCGACATTTTCCGTGGGATTTAAACAAGACCTGCTCAAAATGCCTGGGATACAATCAAAATTACACACAAAGAATGAGGAAAGTCTGGACCCTGAGATGACCCAGATGTTGGAATTATCAGAAAAAGACAATGGAGTTTCACTTCTGTTGCCCAGGCTCGAGGTCAATAGTGTGCTCTCGGCTCACTGCAACCTCCACCTCCTGGGTTCAAGCAATTCTCCTGCCTCAGCCTTCTAGGTAGCTGTGATTACAGGTGCCCGCCACCACATCCAGGTAATTTTTTGCATTTTTAGAGACGGGGTTTCAACATGTTGGCCAGGCTGGTCTCGAACTCCTGACCTCAGGTAATCCACCCGCCTCAGCCTCCCAAAATGCTGGGATTATAGGCATGAGCCACCACGTCCAGCCCAGAAAAAGACTTTAAAAATGAAAGATGGAAAGTCTTAACGGAGAAATAGAGGACAAAGAAAACAATCGAATAGGAATTTTATTTTTTAAAATGTTTCTTTTTTTAATACTTATTTATTTATTGAGATGGAGTTTCGCTCTTGTCACCCAGGCTGAAGTACAGTGGTGCAACCACCGCCTCCTGGGTTCAAGTGATTCTCTTAAGCCTCTGGAGTAGCTGGGACTATAGGTACGTGCCACCATGCCTGGCTAACTTTTGTATTTTTAGTAGAATAGACACGGTTTCACCATGTTGACCAGGCTGGTCTCAAACTCCTGAACTCAGGTGATCCACCTGCCTCAGCCTCCCAAACTGGAGGGATTACAGGCTAAATAAGAATTTTATAACTAAGAAAACATAAGAATCAAGATTTGGAAATGATGTTTCTGACCTATTCCCTGGAAAATGTGAATGTTACTTTATATGACAAAGGAGACTGCAGATGTAACTTATGCAGATGTAACTGATTTTATTTTTATTTTAGTGGGCTCATTCTAATCACGTGAGTCTTTTAAAGCAGAGTGATTCTCTTTGGCTGGACTTAGATGTTAACAGAAGGAAAAGTTAGAGGTATTTAAAGTGTGAGAAAAATTCAACCTATTTCTGGAGGGGGACACATAGAAAGCACCAGAATGTGGGCAGCTTCTACAGACAAAAGGCCAGCCCCCAGCTGATAGCTAAGAAAACAGGGTCCTCTACCCTACAACTGCAATGAACTAAATTCAGCCAAGAACCCAAGTGAACACGGAAGCAAATTCTTCCTCAGAGCCTCCAGGGAAAAACACATTTGGTTTTGGCCTTATGAAATGTGATTTTGACCTTGTGAGACTTTAAGCAGAGGACCAGTCAAGTCCAGTCAAACTTCTGACCTACAGAAATTGTGAGAAAATATATGGATGTTGTTTTAAGCCACTAAGCCACCAAGTTTGTGATAATTTGTTACAGCACCAAGAGTAAACTGCTCATTATCCAAAATGAGCAGCAGAGAGAAAAAAAAAAATTTTTTTTGAAACAGGGTGTCACTTTGTCACCCAGGCTGGAGTGCAGTGGCGCAATATTGGCTCACTGCAGCCTTGACCTCCTGGGCTCAAGTGATCTCTCACTTCAGCCCCAACAAACAGCTGGGACTATAGGTGCATGCCACCACACCCACCTAGAGAAAAAATTTTTTTAAAATGAATAGTCTCAGGAATTCATGGACAATGTCAGAAGGTCTAATGTTCATATTATCAGTGACACAGAAGTAAAGGACAGTATGGTGCAGAAAACAATATTTGAAGAAATCATAGCTGAGAACTTCCCAGATTTCTGAAACACAATCAGGTGGCTCTGTGAACTCCGATAAGGATAACCCAAAGAAATCCATGTCCATATACATCATAGTCAAAAACTGATGAGAACCAAAGACAAGGAGAAAATCTTAAAAAGCAGCTGGGGAAAAATAAAGCATTACCTGTTGGGAAACAATAGTTAGAATGCCTCTGGATTTCTGAGAAAAAACCATGGGGGCCGAAAGGCATAGAACAATTTTTCTTTTCTTTTTTTTTTTTGAGATGGAGTCTTGCTCTGTTGCCCAGGCTGGAGTGCAATGTCGTGATCTTGGCTCACTGCAACCTCTGCCTCCCAGGTTCAAGTAATTCTCCTGTCTCAGCCTCTAATCTCAGTAGCTGGAATTACAGGCACTTGCCACCACGCCCTGCTAACTTTTGTATTTTTAGCAGACACGAGGCTTTTGCCATGTTGGCCAGGCTGGTCTCCAACACTTGACCTCAAATGATCTGGCCACCCCTACCTCCCAAAGTGTTGGCATTACAGGCATGAGCCGCCACGCCTGGCCTCAATTGTATTTCTATATACTAACAATGAGCAAGTGGAAAAAAACTACAACAGCCCCCGCAAGTGAAATATAGTTTGAGACCCATTCATGGATCTCAAATCCAAAAATCTGAAATGCTCAAAATCTAAAACTTTTTGAGAGCTGAAATGACTTCAAAAGAAATACTCATTTAAGCATTTTGGATTTTCGAGTTGGGATGCTCAACTAGTATTTGCTTCAGGTAAAGCAAATATTAACCTGAAAATAATCCAAATATTTCTGGTCCCAGGCATTTCTTTTTTTTTCTTTTCTTTTGCCTTTTTTATTTTTTTTTTGAGATGGAGTCTCATTCTTGTTGCCCAGGCTGGAGTGCAATGGTGCAATCTTGTTTCACTGCAACCTCTGCCTCCCAGGTTCAAGTAATTCTCCTGCCTCATCTCCCAAGTAACTGGGATTACAGGCACCCAGCTGTAAAAGAAAAAGCATTTGGCTTCCACTGGAATCTGGAGCCACAGTTTGGTGTCAAACAGAGCAGCTGTGCTTCTGTTTCAAATGCTGTTTGCTGAAAACCTCTGGATCAGAACAGGTGGTCTTGAGCCAGGTCCTTGGCACCGAGGGGATGTGAACAATCCTGAATTCCAGGGCCTACTGATGGAGTCTGCTCATTAGTCCCTTTGACACTGCCCCTTATGAATCCCAGTAGTCAGCCAGGGTGCCAAGTTTTCATATTGATTCTAAACAAGGCTGCAATCACTGTTTAGAAGTAATTGGGGGACACTGGAATTGTGCTCCTTGCTTCAAGACCCCTAGATTGCACCTAGATTAAACAAGATGGAAGCTCTCAAAAGGCTCTAAGTCTAGGCCTCCTCTGAGGTAGGGTCTGAAAGGACTTAAACCATTTTTTTTCTTTTACACAGGGTAACTTTTTGGAACAGTACTTAATAACAATAAAGGGCTGTGCACAGAAAGGAGAAATGCCATTATGAGGATGTGTGTGCCGACCTGGGACCAGCAGGGTTAAAGAGTCTATCATTCATGATGAGAGCTGCCATTTGCACTAAGCACACACCATGGGCCAGGCATTATGCCAAGAAATTGTTGAATCTTCATGACAACTCTGTAAGAAAAGGGATGTCATTGGACCAATGAGGACACTGATGCTCCCAGGGGTCCAAGTCGCATGAAGAGGAGGTGACAGGACTGGGCACTGGTCCAAAGCTCCAGCCTTCCAAGCCAAGGCCCGAGAGAGGAACCCGAGGCCTGATGTCAGGCCTGTTTTTCTCATGTGCCCTGGAGAAGGGGACCAACACCATCTTTCGTCAAAGTTTGGTGAGGGATGGCCAAGAGCTCTTTGAAACTTTGCCATGTACAATAGTACTCACAATTTTTTTTTTTTTAATTTTTTAGACAGTGGTATCCGGGTGCAGTGGCTCACCAACACTTTGGGAGGCTGAGGCAGGAGGATTGCTTGAGGCCAGGAGTTTGAGACCAGTCTGGGCAACATAGTAAAACCTCATCTCTATAAAAAAAGAAAAAAAATGAGGCGGGCAGGGTGGCACACATCTGTAGTCCCAGCCACTCAGCAGGCTAAGGTAAAGAGGATCACTTGAGCCTGAGAGGTTGTGGCTACAGTGAGCCATCATCACACTACTGCACTCTAGCATGGGTGACAGAACAAAACGGTCTCAAAAAAAGAAAAAAAAATTAAACAGTGGAATGTTTTCTTTAGAAACTACCTTATGCATAAGTACAATCTAGAAAATCAGAATTGGGCCACTTGTAGTGAAGGTGGAAGCACAGGTGGCCTGGGACCCCCCAGGATTCCTGGAGCACTGCCTGAAGGCCATTTATCTAGCAGATTGGCACTTACTGTGAGAAGCGCAAGAGGTACCATGATGCTTAAGGCTCTGGCTCTGGCTCTGGGTATGAAAGAACGAGGTGGAATTGTAGCAGATTCATTCCTGGGTCACTCGGTTTTGGGGAGGGCTGCAGGATTCCAGGCCTGCCATGTGCAATGGGTGCTGGCCTCTTTCTTCTGGGCACCATCTGCCTCAACCTATCCCCTGGCCAGCAGAGGCCTGTCACTCACAGGGCAGAAAACTGACCTTCAACATTTCACAACTAGTGAGTTCACTCTTTAAAAAAATGGATTATAAAGTTAAAAGCTACAGCAACTCTTTTTCCTTGTGCTCATAAAAGGCATCATCTGTTTTTTTCTGTATAAACAAAAGTAGAATGTTCAAGTCTGGATCTTGGTGTAGAATCAACAATAGATCTGTACCCCTGACTCCAATGCAGGGGCTGGTGGGATGGCTCACAGTGGAATCATCAAACGGACTTCCTTCTCATAGATGTCAGGGATCATTCCCATTGGGGAACTGACCATGTGCACGGTGTTCTTGCCAAACAACTGAAACTCATAGTGGATGAGCTGCTCCCAAAAGCCGCTATTGGGTCGGATGATGGGCCGGCACGACTTGGTCCACGTGTGGGCGTCCAGCAGGGACATGGCGTGGTACTTCATGAGGTAGGCGAGGCACAGGGCAGCTGAGCGGCTCACACCAGCAGCGCAGTGCAGCAGAGTACGGCCCTGCTTCATCTCCACGCTGTGGATATGGTCAGCAATAGGGTCAAAGAAGTCACAGAGACGTGAGTTAGGGGCATCAGCTACAGGTACCTGCATGTACTGGATATCCTCATACAAGGTGTTCACTACTTCCACTGAGACATTGATGACCATGGTGATCTGGTTGCTAGACAGCATGAGCTTGTTGTTGGCGGCCACACCATTGCTGATATACAGGCTCTTGGTTATCTGCGAGAGGCCACTGACTGAGGGCTGCCGGAACTGAACTGGGAAGGCACACGAGGGTGCTGTCATCAAGGCGGTCGGTCAGAGGTCAGTAGTCAGCGAAGCATGAAGGCTGCATCTTTCTGCTAGGCTGTGTCCATGGAAAACTGCAGGGAGGGAGAGGATGTTTAGAGGGCAGGTGCCCAGAGGGCCAAATCCAGGGGATCCCTGGGAAATGGATGGATAGGCCTATAGCATTCCCCACGGTAGTCCTCTGATCATCACAGCAGAATTACCCAGCAAACTCATTTAAAGCACTGATACCCAGGTCCCTCTCCAAACCCACAGAGTCAGACTCTCAGGATGAAGAGCATGAATCTGCATTTTCCACATGCTTCTTAGGTGGTCTAACGTGCACTGCCCTATAGGACAAAGGGCAGGTCCCCAAGTCTGGCACTTGAGGCCTCCCTTGAGGGGTCCCACAGTTCTAGTTGGGCAGATGACTTGTGTCCCTCAGGTGTGCCCTGGTCTGACTCTCCATTTAAGCTCACACAGCCCTCTTCTTGCTGCTCTTCCAAATTCTCTCCTTCCTTCCAGTCCCTCTGAATGGGAACCACTTGTACAGTCTTCCTCCTCAGTCTTCCGACTTTACGCCCAAATCATAAGGCCCTGAGCCAGTGGCATGGAACCAGAGCCGATTGTGCTGGCAGTCACTGAGGGGGTTGGTCTAAGAGTAGGGAGGGTCCCCATTTTCCCCCTCTAAGAACAATCTCTTTAAAGAGATAGGATATGCCTATGTGAAGCTGATGTCAAATGGAAAGTCCTAAATTGTTAGACATGCTCCTGCACCTTGCCTCTGAAGAGGGCCTGGGAAAGGGAGTGGCTAAAAGCTTCCTGAAGTCAGCATAATGGGCACCACAGCAACCCCACGGGCAAGCAGAGAGAGGCAGCAGGGCCTCAGGAAGACCTGCCACACCTGCATCATGCTGCCTGCAGCAGAGCTGGGAAATGCACCCCAAGAAGAGGCAGATTCCCTGCCTTCACCCACTTGATAGACTCAGCCACCAAGTAATCGCCATAGGGGTTCAGTCACAGATCTGCTTCCTGCGCCGCAGACCACGCAGTCGTTGGTGCTCTTCAGGTGCGGCCCAGGTCCCTGGAGCGTTCCTTAAGACTCTCGGGCCCTCACTTTCTCAGTCTTAAAACAAAGCTGCAAAACCAGGACATCTTTATACGTCCCACTGAAATAGGCCCATTTGGATTTAGATCACACCTTTCAAGGCCAAATGGCAGTCTTCACCAGGCATGAGAAATGAGGAGCCAAAGTTTTGTTTCCCTGCTTAATATATTTCAGTGGCTATCCACTGTCAGGATAAGATGGAGCCACTTAGTTTGGCTGTCAAGGCCATTTGTGACCTGGCTCCTGCCTGTCTCTCTAGCCTCTTATTAGGCTTCCCCATGCTCTGAAGGGCCTCAGGTGAACTGAGCCACTTACAGTTCCTTAGGGACAGCCTGTCCCCTCCAGCTAGTGGCCTTTGCCTCTGCTGATCTCTCAGTCCCTTTCCTTATGAACTTACTAGATTCTGATCTGGTCCATTCAGCAGAAGACTGCAGAATTCTGAGGAGCCTTAAGATACCAACTCAAAGGTAACTGTTTTAAGGGAAATCTTCTTAGATCACACCCCTCCCTCATGTTTGACCGACTCTCTGCTCCAGGCTTTCTTAGCCCTGTGTTCTCTCCTTCCTAACACTTATTGAAGATGTGGTTTTGCCCTGATCTGCCTGATTATCTGATGAATGTCTGTCTCTCCCACAGACTGTGAGCCCTCTAGGGATATGACGGTGTCTATCTTCACTCCCACTCTATCACCAACTAGTGCCAAGGGCTGTGTCCCCACAAGTAGGTGCTTGATAAATATTTGTTGAATGAAAAAATAACTCCCAACAGCTATGACTCTGCCTTCTGAGAGGTTTTTCTGGAAAGAATGACTTCTCTGGCCATGTTTCTCTAGAATTCCAGGGAGGGGCTGGGTGGGGATGGGGGTGGTTCTGAGGCTACCAAAGAGAAAGACTAAAGGTTGTATAGGCAAATTCTACCTGCCAATGCCCTAGACTCAAATGCATCAGACTCATCCCAGGAAGGACAGAGAGGGCTGGCTTGTTATAAAGGTGATATGAAGGGCAAAGAAAAAGCCTCCTGAACCCAGATGGAAGCCTAAATGCTAAGGAATATTCTGGATCCTCATCAGAAAATCCAGAGAGAAGTGAACTGACATCCCCCCAAACCAGTGCCCAGTGGGTAACGGGAATACAGGAATGTGCTGTTCATCACAGCAACTAAAAGTTTGCAGAAGTGACAATGCTCTTGTGGGTGAGGGCAGTGATGGGGGGAGTCATTTTCATGCTAGTAAAGAAGTATCTATCAGGGCTGGGCATGGTGGCTCATGCCTATAATCCCAGCACTTCGGGAGGCTGAGGCAGGCAGAGGTCAGGAGTTCAAGACCAGCCTGACCAACATGGTGAAACCTCGTCTCTCCTAAAAATACAAAAATTAGCCAGGCGTGGTGGCATGGGCCTGTAGTTCCAGCTACTCAGGTGGCTGAGACAGGAGAACTGCTTGAACCCGGGAGGTAGAGGTTGCAGTGAGCCAAGATCCCACCACTGCACTACAGCCTGGGCGACAGTGTGAGACTCCATCTAAAAAAAAAGAAAAAGAGGTCGGGCGCGGTGGCTCAAGCTTGTAATCCCAGCACTTTGGGAGGCCGAGACGGG